GAACCCCATTCCCAAATGGGATTACCACCACAAGTATCTGCATTAGAATTTACAATACAGCCTTCAGATCATAACACAGGGCTAAGTCAACGGTCAATACTGTGGCCTTCTCCACACCCACACGGTGCCCTCTTTTGAAGCCTTGAGATGAATTCGGAGTTTAGTAGGGCTCCCTTTAGGTCAGGCTTGGTTCTTGTGAACACCTAAAAAGCACTGCTGTAAAGAATTGTCTCAGCTAAACATGTCCTTCCTTTCCCCCCACAGACATAACCAGTGTGGTGCAATCCAAACGAAGAAAATCCAAGTAAAAAAGCTGGATGGCGACTTGATACTTGTAAATGTGTGTGAATTTTACAAAGAGCAATTTTGAGCTGTGACTTTTCTAAATCCATTTCTGTACAGTTAATCATTTTAATAATGTGGCCCTTTTCCTAGTTCCTGCAACCTGTTTTGTAAAGTGCAATGGGGAAAGCAGGGTTGTTGAGCCCTTTTGGTGTTGCAAGGTAAAGTTCAAGGTTTCTAAAATGTTGCCATGTATTGAGAGGAGCTAATGCCATTATAAATGTTACTAGTTTTCACATTTCCTAAGCAGCCTAGAGTACAGGGTGAGCATTTTTAGATCTTCTAATGATGTATTATGCTGTGGAAGTATTGTGTGTGAATAGCAGTAGTGGGGACAAAAGCAATCTTCTCATTTGGAAATGCTGTAAATAATTTTATTATATAGTGTTTTTGGATGTATTTGTTGTAGAAATGGACCAGTGAATAAAGAGAATCTAAGGGTTTGTACAATGTGAAATACTCAATGTGTTAAATAAATGTCATTGTCCTAGAATATAAAAATATGTTATTGGTAGGGGGTTATTGGAAGAGCAAGCTTTCTTTGAAGCATAAATGAATAGGCATAGCCTTCTTTGTGAATCAGAATCCAACCTGCCCCACTGCCCCAGAGGTGCCCTCCTGGCAAGTTGAGGAAAATGCACGCACTTACTTACTCATTTAAGGGCAGGAAAGCTGTCAGCAACCTAGATAACACTTTGTCTCTGTCTTATACATCTGCTTTGCAGTGCACATGATGGACTGCTCCCAAACTGTGTTTTATATTTCCTCTAGTCAAGAGATAAACCCACATTGACCAATAAGATTCTTTGTACCAGTTATCAAGCATAGGTCACATTTTCACTTTCAGTCCAGTTCTGTGATTAAATAAAAAGGGTCATTCTGTGCTATATTCTTCAAAGATGTCCGCTCCATTGCACTTCTTTGGCTACCCTGTTGCTTACCTCCATCAAGCCTCAGGATGACTTCTCATCAACATGCCCAGGTTTTTCCCCTTTTCTAGTTCAATTCTCACCTCACAGTTTGTACAGTGTCCAAAGCCAGCTGCTTCTGTCCCCACCCTACCTCCAACCTTCAGGGGACTCTGCTCCTTGGGGACCTGTCCTTGTCTTGGCCTGGGCTTCAGTCTTCTACTTTTTCTCCTGGGGCTATACTTAAACTCCTTCCCTTCCCCTCCAGTGCCTCTTTGTCCTTGCCATAACTCAGTGACTAAGACCAAAAGCATAAGTTGGTGATTCTGCATTGCTCTTATTCTCGTGTCTATTTCAAATGTTTTAATATCTATGTCTTACATTGTAAGGATCCTCTAAATGTAGCTATTTATGAGTCAGATCCCACGTTGTCTGGCTCTGCTCCCAGCAAGCTCATCTACCGTCTTCCTTTCTCATGACAAACATGACCAGAATCAAAGCCAGCTTCACAATAATACCCTGTGCCAATACCATATTTGAGAGTACAAAGTGCTTCCCATACTTAAGCTCAACTCAGGCAGAAAGTATAATGTGCTTTAAATAGATTTTTATTTATTTTTCTTTATATTATATTAACTTTTTTTTCTTCCATAGAGGAATAGCATTACAATCTAACAATCAGAATCCTGTTACACACATACACAGGCATGCCACATGACTGGGTCGAGGTGGTTGTGTCCTTGAGTCTGTCGACACATTACACATAATCAACCAAAGTCTCTTCATTTCATCCAGCCTCAACACAAAACATCCAACTGGGATGCACTCAACTAAGTGGCAGGACTAGAGGGAAAATGTATTAGAAGTGGGCTGTGATATGTCTGCATTCATTCCCTTCATGTAAAGCAACATGGATCTGAGAGGCATCCAAGAGCTCCAGTAGGGTCCCCATTGCACCGAAGACCTTTTGGATCAGAGCAAGTTGATGAGAGGGTTCTAGGCAGTGGCTGGGAAGAGCAGGAAGACTCTAAAACAGCACTACACTGTATTCATACACACATGGTGCCCTGCCATGGCCAGTCTGGGGAAAGCTGGGAAGTGAAAACCAAATTAAGGAAGCACTCAGAACTGTTGGGATAGTAACTGGAAATTGCCCTTTCATGTAATTGGGATTCACAATTTAGAAATGGGGTCCCTCTAGCATACTTAGTTTTGGCAAAGTGCTGGTCATACTGTCGTACTGACATCAGTTAATACTCACAAACTGGAACAAACTTCTCCAGGGTCTCTGAAAATAGTAGTCAAGACAGACTCTCTAACCCCTCCTGTCTAAAGTTGCATAGGACTTTGTGAATTCTGGTTCCCTCATATATTCAAGTTCTGTGGTTTAAAAAAAAAAAAAAACAATCCTGAAGCATGCTCAAGGTGAAAGGCACGTACACAGTCAATACAGTATGACAAGGTCTGATGCTTCAGGAGTCAGACTAGCAGGAGACTGAGTAGTGTTGGTTCTTAGAAATCTATATACAATCAAAATATTGCCACACTCAATGCTACAGAATCTATAGGACAGTACAAAAAATAAGAGCCTTGCAAACAGCCAGGTGATGGTGGGTTCCAGAACTATAGGAGCCTCCAAAAATATGGGTGAGAGCACGGCCTTTTGAAATTTGAGCCAAATGCCCTGTAACACAAACTCCCCAACCAGAAGGATCGTGACCACCACCCAGGACTGAACCTAGGCCCCACCTGGCAGTGAAGGAGTAAAGGTCTTGTGAGGTGACCAAGGGGTAGCTGGAAGAATAAAAGCAACTGAATCTTGGGAGCCAAATAGTAGGGTTGTCAACCACTAAGGCCTAGTGGACAAAAGGTGGGGTTTGACCTGTTTTAGGGTAAATTTGGCTTACTCTCTGGGATAGGACACCCCAATAGTGCTGGTTCTGTCCCCATCCCAGCATCCTTGGGGCTACCCCCGCTTCCCCCACCCACCCTTACATGAGGCCTGGGGCTACAGGGTTAGGGAGGACAGCTCCCTTTGCCCTCACAGGAATGCAGAGCTTTCTCTACGCCTCAGCTTGGCTGTGGAGCTCAAATACCTGGAATTGGGGTAGGAAGGAAGACCTATGTTAGTATGTAACAGGAAATCATAAAAGTTTGAAGGAAGAGAGAGAGCAAGCACACCCTAGAAAATGACAGCTCAAAAGAGGAAAAGAGAAGCAACTCGGGGCATCCCAAGAGGCTGTTGCTGGTGTCTAAGCCCAAAATTCAGTCCCACCATGAGAAGGTGAAAGCTGGCTGCCTCTATCCCCTCTGTCTCCACCAGGGATTCAGGTTCCCTCCTCCAGGGACTTACTGGAGGAAAGCCTAGAAAGGACGAGAGCCCTGGAGAGAAAATGAGGAAGGGCCTCCTGAGGCCTTGAACCTGGTGAGGGGACTGTTTGGGGATTGGGACAGTGGAGCTCCTGGCCCCCTATTAGGAGTGTTTGTTAGACCCACTGAGCAGGGTATGAAATCCAAGGCCAGAGGCAAGAGGAGGGCTGAGCTGTCTGTCTTGGGGTAGCTGCACCCCAGAGCTTGTCCTCCCTGCTTCATTGCTCTGCATTCTTACCCTGGAGTGTGCCCTTTCCCTGACCAGAAGCCCTCTGGCCTGCATCTCCCCTAAGCTAGTTCTAGCACCTTGGGCATGTGAACAGATGGCCAGGATGGCAGGGCCATGCCCAGTCTCTACTCCTGGGGTGACATGTTGGGGAGTAGGGTACAAGGTACTAACTATAGACACAGGACCTTGCAGAGGGATGAACTGCCTGGATTTTAGGAAAAAACTTGGGAGGTGGGGTTACAGGAAAGGGAAGTGGGGGCAGACTCCAGGCTCTAACCTATGAGCAGGGCTTGGTCTCTCTGAGCTAGCACAGTGCCAGCTCCCATGGTGCCCTGCTCCCTACAGCTTCTCAACCCGTCTGTCCTTCCGTCTACATCTCCAGTAAGCTACCTCCTTCCCTCGATTCCCTCCACCTTCTCCCTCTGACTCACATCTCACTGTCCTCTTCTACATACTTTACCTTTCCAGGCTGAAGCAGCTCCAAGGAGCCCAGCCCCCAGGGGAGAGAGAAGTAGAGGAAAGAGACAAGGAGAACCCTGAGTCTGAGCCCTTACTGGAGGGCCAGGGCAGCAGGCCAGCCCCACAGGTTGTACCTGGTCGGAGCTGAGCTCAGGGTCCTACTCCACAAACCCCCCTCCACTTAGAAGGAGCTACAGTGGCAGAGAATTAGGGAAGAAGGGTGAATGTAGTGTCAAACATAGGGTGGGGTGAGGAGTGTAAAGGTGGTGATTGAGCCAGTTCATAGAGTGGAAGAGGCTCTCAGAAATAGGGGTGGGGTGTAGGTGGAGGCCTAGAGGGAAAGAGTGAAGGGGAATGTTAGGACAGAGACAGGGCTGAGGATCAGAGAAGGAAGGATGAAGTGTCAGGGGTGGAGGGAATGGAGGATCGGATGCTGGGCATGGGGCCAGGAGAACAGAAGATGAGAGGAACAAGAGAAGGTTCAGAGGTGAATTAGAGGGTCAGAGAGAAATCGAGAGAGTTGACGTGGATGAGGCTGTCACCCCATCTCACACACTCAACAAGGGGGTAAGGGTGTGGTGTCCAGCCCGCGGTAGGCCTTGGCCTTCCCTCGAGGAAGACACTGGCTGCGGTGGAGGAGTCCCACAGGGGTCAGGAATCGGGGAGGGGTTCGTGGGGTGACCCACGGACGCTCAATAGTTGAACTGGCGCTGGCACGGCTGGTAGACGAAGCTGCCCTGGTGCTTGGGCCGACGTGGACGGCTTTCCCGGGCGCGGTTCTGTCGTTGCACCACCTTGGCGCTCAGCGCATGGCGCTCAGCCCGCTGTCGGGCCCGCTGCAGCCGCCGTGCCTGGCCCGCCTTCTCCAACAGCGCAGCCCGAGCGGGCAGCGGGGCAGCGGCTGCGGCGTGGTGGAGGCCCCGAGGCTCACGGCGGACGGGCGCCAACTCCCTGGAGGCACAAGGTGGACAAGCTGCAGGCCACTGGCAGCTCCTACCCTGGTCCCAGCTCCCTCTCCTTGGCTCAGCATTGTCTCTGCTTCAAGGGACCGCCTAATGCCTTTCTTGTGAGTCCAGGCTCCTCCCCAAGGCAACCAGGAAAAGCCTCCTTGGGTCTAACTCCTGTGACAGGTAAGCCGGCCCCAGGGAAGTCTCGGCCCCAACCCCCAATTCCTCCCCTTCGTTCTAGAAAAGCCTCTAGAAGCGGCCCCACCGCTCACGCTTCCAAGTCCGCCCCAGGCCTCCTTGCCAACCTCTTCAGAGTCCCAAGCCCCCTCCCTGACCACCAGGTCAAGTTTCCAGCATCTCAAAGCCCCGCCCCTTCGTCTCGGACCAGCTCCAAGCCTCGCCCTCTCACAGGCCCTGCCCATTGCCTGGAAGACACGCCCCCTCGCGGCCCCACCCCTTCCACTCGCAAAGGGCTCCAGGCCTCGACCCTCGTCTCCAGGTCTGGTCCCTTGCTTACAAGATACGCCCCCTGTGGCCCTCTCGGCTCCATCCCCAGCCCACTTACCCGTCGCTAAGGTGGCCTTCAGGCTGGGCAACGTCGGGGTGCGGGGAAGGGGACCTCGGCTCCAGCACTATGGTACTGCCAGTGACGTAAACGGACATGCTGGGGTGCTCGATGAGGAGGTCCTCCAGGGGGTTGCTCTGGAGGCGGGCGGGCCCGAGTCCGGGTCCCTCTGCAGTAAAACAGGCGGGAGGGGTAACAAACCAGCTCTCGTCCATCAAGGAGGGCGCGGGCGGGGGTCGGCCTGCGGGAGCCGGAGCAGCCCCGGGGCTAGGTGGAGCCACGTAGCTCTCTACGGGGCGGGCGTGGAAGGGGGAGCCAGGCGTTTGAGGGGGGCGCAGCGGGGAGGGACACACACACACACACACACACACACACCGAACACAAGGGGGCAGGGAGAGAAAGGGCATCATTAGTCAGACCCGCAGTCCTGCCTGCCGCGCCCACGGGCACCCACGGGCACCCACGGGCCAGGGGTCTCAACCTGCCTTTGGGCACCTGAGGTGTGGCCCCAAAGCTGCATCCCGGGGAGACAGCCCAGGCTTGCTTGGGGAGAGGGCCCTGTTAACCCCCTGTAGTATAACTGCCTCAGCCCCGAGGTTGCCCTGTAGACTTGGGGGAACTCCCCAATCTCTAGCAGCGCCCTTCCTTCCCCGGCTGGTCCTTCTGCGTTCACGATGACTTCACAGGCCCAAATGTCAGAGTCCTCGCCCCCCGACTCAGGCCTCACCCGGCAGGTCAATGATGAGCCAGCCGTCCACCTCATCTTCCTCAGAAACGAAGGCGTGGGGGCAGTCAAGGTCCTCAGGGGGTGGAGGAGCGCTGAAGAAGAGGCTGGTGAAGCGCTGAAACATGGTGGGGACCTGGGAGTTAAGCGGCCTCTGGGGGGCGCCCTATGGCAGCTCGGAAACCTGGGAGGGGAAGAGAAGAGTCAGTACCACAGTGACTCGGACTGGGAACAGGTGATACTACCCCATCCCGCATAATGCTGAGAGTACCAGGAACATGTGGGGAGGCTACAGCGAGGCAGTAGAGGGTTTTCTCATATGTCAAATGACAATAATAACAAGAATGCCCTCCTGTGGCTCTTACAAGAATTAAATGAGCTAAGCATTTGTAAAATGCTTAGAACAGTGCCTGGGTACATAGTAAGTACTCAACAAGCTAGTTACTAGTAGTAGTAGTACAGAGAGCTCTAGGGACATGGGAAGTGTGACATACAAAACCAGGCTTTGTCAAGGAAGGTCTCCAGAGGATTGGACATCCAAGCTGGAGCTTGAAGGATAAATAGGAATTCTCCAGGCAAAGAGACAATTACCCAATATTGTGATTATTATTATGTTGCTAACATCCACAGGCTAGGCACTTTGCCTGTATTACCTGATGTAATCCTCACAGCAAGGAGCCCTGGTGGTGCAGTGGTTAAATACTCAGCTGCTAATTGAAAAGTCAGCAGTCTGAACCCACCAGTAGCTCAGCAAGAGAAAGATGTGGCAGTCTGCGTCCATAAAGATTGAGAGACTTGGAAACCCTGTGGGGCAGTTCTAGTTTATCCTGTGGAGTCACTGAGTTAGAATCCACTTAAAAGCAGTAAGTTTTCAATCTCCAAAGCAACTCCAAGAAGTGGGTGAAATTATTATCCCCCTTTTACAGATGAAAAAAAACTGAGGCTCAGAGAGGTAAAGAAACTTGCCCAAAATCCTGCAGCTGGTAAGGCACAGACGTTATGATTTGAACCCATGCAATCAATTCCAGAGGCAGCACCCAATGTCGCTACACTCCATTGCTTTTGCTGGGTGTCTGTCTGATTAGGCATTTTTAACTTGATGGCCAGTAGTCATAGTCCACTATCAGGCCTAAAATTGCCTGCATAACAGTGTGTGTGTGTGTGTGTGTGTGTGTGTACGTGCACATGTGTGTTTACCTGGCAAGAAAGCCCTTAGTTTTCATCACAATTTCCTAAACAGCCATCTTTGACCCCAGAGACTTCTCAGGCCTGTGTAGTTTAAAAAGCATTGGCTGGCAGAAACCCACAGAAGCACCATCCTCTCGCCATGTGATTGGGCAGGCCCTAGTCATGTCTGTCACATGTCTGTTCTCACAGGTCCTTCTCCCCCTCACCCCCCTTCCCAGGCTCCTGCTCAAGGGCAGCATCTCTGGCTAGTAGGAAGAAGATCGGGTTGCCTGGCCCCAGGGAGGCAGCAGGTTAGAGAGGTGATGATGGAGGGAGGGAGCAGTCAGACTCCAGGAGCCCTTAAGGATGAGCACTGAAGGTTGGACCGGGACCCAGCCTCAAAGGGATAGCTGTAGATCTGCCCCTCTCCCCACCCCAGCCTACCTCAGAACCAGATCTAGGCTAGGGGCTGCTGGCCAGGCCCCTGGGATATCGCTAGAGGCCAGTCCTCCAAGTCCATTCCCTAAAGATGGTCAACAGTTTTGCTGTTTAGGGCTGGTCTCTGTCCTCTGGAACAGAACTCCCTGGAAGCATTTCCACTCTTACTGCTAATTCACCTGGGGTGTTTCCACACTTGTTGCCACCTCCCTTATTCCCCAGGAATGTTTTCACACTTTCCACAGAATCACCTAACCTCCATTTCCTGAAAGTATTTCTGCTCTTGCAGACCCATAGCGGGCTCCAGAGGGAAGTATTCCCTGGGTCCCAGCTTTCCTGATGGGACGGATGGGAAATCTACAGGAGTTATGAAAAGTGGGGAAGCCCCAATGAGTGCCTGCCCAGTACATATCCCAACCCATGTGTAGCCACAGGGAGTTAATGACTTACTCAGTTACCAAAAATCCAGGAAGTTTGGCCCCTCCTGAAGGAAGGGAAGATTGGGGCCTTGAATAGCCACACCCTCCTTCTAGAAACCTACTTCTTCATTGATGAAAGGGAAGTTAAGAGCAATTTCAGAGACCATCATATTCAACCAAACCATTTTTTAACCTGAGCATCAGAGAGAGGACCTAAGTCTATCCAAAGACACACAGATAGATGGTGGTATACAGGCCTAGCCCCAGGGTACCAGTCCAGAGTGTACACAGCAGGAAAGCCACGACAAACAGTGCCCAAGAAAATAATGGTATGTGTGAGGGGGGATACAACAGGAACCAGATGCTGGAGACACTGCCCCTCTCAGGGCCTTTCTGCCAGCTATAAAAGGGTATGGGATTCCTGGCACCAAGATTCAGCAGGCATTTACCAGAGTACCCACTGTGCATCAGGGCCTGTGCTGGGCCTCTTCAAATTATACATAGAGGTTAAGGAAGATTCAGGTAGGAAGCTCTCTGCTGGAGGTCACACAGTAAGCCAGTGACAGAGCGGGGAGTGACAGCAGCAGCAGCACAGGCCTGCCAGTGCCCGCCCCCTCTCCTGACCACTGGGAGAGTCTCCTGGATTTTCTTTCCCAGCCCTAACAGCTTCCTGGTTCTCACATTGCCAGCTCTGCTCCAGGGAGAACCATCCCCTTTAATAACTATAGCAGCTGTGCCCAGAATAGCATTTGAGCCCAAAGCCACCCCAGCCCATCCTCAAGAAAACTAGGCTGGAATTGGTTCTTGGTCCAGCCCCTAGCTATATCCACTTAAGTCAGAAGCTCTCCAACTCCTATCCATGTGAGCAGAGAAGTATAGCACAAACCTTGCATACCTGTACTAGGCCAGGTCATGTCCCTCCTAGCTGACAACCCTGGGGGTTGAGGAGATAATGAAGGGCCACACTGAGGGAACCTGCACCCCAACATTAGCCCTAGAGACACCCTGAGGCAGAAAGTCACTCACTTTTCTGTAGTAAAAACAACTGGAAGGAGATGATTTTACTGGGCTCTGGGACTCCACGGTACAGAATAAGGACAAAGGAGAATCAGAGTCAGGGCTACGAAAGAAACTCAATCTCTAGAGACCCCTAGAAAAAAATATTTATAGAGACCCCAAGAAAAAGGTCTAAGAATGAGAAGACTTAGGAGCTCTTTCAAATCAGGATGGTACTGCCCTGGAGCAGCTGGTGGGTTCAAACCACTGACGTTTTGCTTAGCAGCCAAGCACTTAACCACTGAGCAACCAGGGCTCCTTGTCAATGATTAGGGGGATGGTACTATGTTAGTCCCTAGGGAGAAGGGCCTGGAGCTACGGGGAGATTACGCCACCATCTGGCGCTACCCCTCAGCCCCATCCTGGAGCCCGAGGTGGCCCCAGAACTATTGACGATCCTCTAGCCTAGACCCAGCAGCGCTATCTGGACCCCTTCCAAGTCTCAAAGAGATATAGGGGATCAAGAAGCCTGACCCCAGTCCCCAGATTAGCTCAGGAAACCGCTGAGCCTCCTCCAGTCCCGCTGTCTTTCAGAGTTCAGCACCTTTGGGCCTAGCCCCGATCCCGTGCCCACCGGGTTACCGGAGGACAAGCGACCCAATCCAGGGGGCGGGGCCGGCCTTGGTGACGTCTCAATGTCATATGCAAATAGGACTACGTCATGGTCTACCGGGCGCGTGGCAGCCAATCAGGAGCCAGGAACGCAGCCGCGGCGGCCGCCGGCGAAGACACACAAAGGCCCGGGAGCAGGGGGCACGGGGCGTGTCCCCGGGCGAGGGGAACCCCCAGGCTGGAGATGGTCGGGACTCACCTGGGGGCGGGGGCGTGCGGCTGAGGGGGGGTAGGGGCGGCGCTGAGGTAGTTGTGCGGCGGAGTGTCCTGGGGTCGGCAGCTGCTCACAGGCCTGACCGCATCGCGGGGGCCGAACGAGAGAGGCGGCAGGGCTACGAGGCGGACGCTCTGGGCTGCTGCGCTCCCCCCTAGGCTTTGAGTCTGTGCGGCCGGGGCGGCCGGGCTCACGGCACAAATTGGAACGCTCAAACAGCTGATTGTGACGTCACAAAGGGGCCCGCCCGCCTCGCGTCACCCGCCCGCGGAGCTGCGGCCAATCCCAGGCTGCGGATCCCCCCATCCCCACCCCATCCACCGTTCGCTGGCTAGCTGCTCTTGCCCGGGAGTCCGACTCTAAGCTGCCGGGGCGGTCCTGTGAGGCGGCTGCTGGGAGCTTGGAGCTCCCCAGCCCCACGGCGACCCGCCGACTTTTCAGTGAAAAGATCCCCACTCTTTCCCACCGGATCCCCATCTGCCTGCACTCTCTGCACATATCCCGCGACTTTCCCTCTCTCACCGCCCCGCACTTCCTTTCACCTGCTCACCTGCATCTTACGTCCAAGGGCTCCCTTCTGTACTCTTTCTCTACGCCACACCACGTTCGGCCACCTCTATTCTCCCCATCACCTTTCTCCCTGCTCTTCCTCCCTTTTCTTTTCATCTCCTCATCTTTACCTTTTTCCACTCCATTTTTCCTCACAGGCTTGAGAGAAGGGAGACATCTCCCAACCCTGGTTCCCGGAGAACACCTGGGAATGTGGAGGAGTTGGTGAGGCTGGCAGGAAATTGTGCAAAGATTAGGAGAGGAATTGATCTAGGCAAAGTAAACACCGCTCTGTGCTGGAACGTTTACGTTTATTTAATCCACGTCGTTGTCCGGGCTGAACAGAAGAGTGATCAACAGGGATTTTTAGATGGGGAAACTGAGGCTCGCAGATCTGTTAGTAAGTGGATTTGCATGAAATAATACATTCAACCTTTTGTGAGCACCTACTACTGCCACACCAGCCCACTAGCTGACACCTATTAAACCCTTACTGTGTGCCAGGCACTGTGCTATAATGCTTTGTATGAATTTTTTTTTATCTTCACAACAACCCCAAAAGGTGAGTGGTATCCCCATTTTGCAGCTGAAGAAAATGAGACCCAGAGAACTTAAATGACTTCCCAGGATCACAAAGATAGTCAATGGCAGAGTCAGAAATAAAGTCTGTAA